TATATATGTGTTTAAGGTTATTTATTGTCATTCGCATCACCTGTGGTACATGAGGTGGAATGAAATTGTGTACACAGGGTCCCAATTACATCCAACAATGGACAAAGTTTAAATTGTAAAATAAACAGTACTAAGGATCTAAAATATAAACTAAGAAATACACTAAACTTTTAATAGTGCAAAACGATATACCGAACAACAGCATCACGAACATGAGTTTGTGTGAGCAGATGAATACCAACGAATAAAGAAACATGAAAAAAATCAGCATCATGAGATCAGCAGCATGCATAATCAGCAGCACATATCAACAATCAAGTGGCATTACAGTGATTTTTTTTTTCTTTTTTCTTTTCAGAGATAATCCTGATTAGGGTTTTATGAGACTAACTGCTACAAGGTAGAAGCTGTTCCTCAGTCTAGTTGTGCTATATAGCATATATATATATATATATATATATATATATATATATATACAGTATACTTCTCTGCCTTTGCTCGGGTAACATACAGAGGAGCCCCTCTGGAGAAACAATGAACCCAAGCAATACATGCAAATAACTACTAAGGCCAAATATCTGAGATGAGTTTGTGAATGTTCTGGAGATTTTTATGTATATTAGAACGTGTTTGTGGCGCAAAATAAGATGCACATTTTATGACCAGATAACAACCAAAGAGCTAAGTTACTGTCAGTTCCACAAAAAGGCATTCAGAACATTGTGTTTGACTTCACTTGGGGAAACCAAATGTTCAAACTAATGTGCCGATAGCTAACACAATATTAAATAATTTTCTTATGCTGGAAATACAGTTTAGCAATATAACTTTTTTGTGGCTAAACAGAAAGTCATTACTTACACTCACATTGTATAAGGTAGTCGATTTGGTACAAACAAAAGTATAAAACAATATGCATTTATGGAAATTAAGCAAACATATGTAATTATTTTGGTGCCATTAGCCTCCTAAAAGGATAACATTTGTGCAATCAGATCCAGATAATAAAATATTAAATCATAATAACATGTCACCTACCTCTCAACTGCAGTGAGCCATGTTATATGAGAAAAGACAGACAGTACCACATGCCCTAACATATTACTGCCCTGTAGTTAATGCTGATTACAACACATTTAAAAAGGTTTTATTTTATTTTGTCTTGAAGGATCAGTGGGCTAGTTCAAATTATTTATGCTGGGGTACAGTGAAATCCCAGGAAGAGGACGTGTTGCTTCTTGTTGATTTTTATAAAGTCTATTTGTCCAGAGGCCAATGTCAAGATCTTCTGTTCTGCTTTGAATTGATTAGTAATAAAAGTGCACATATTGTACAGCAGAGAGCAAACTGCCTAACCTTGTTTTATAGTTAGACATTCCTTTTACCTCAGAAAACAGTTGTCTGCTTTTGCCAAGTAGTTAAATTAGCTTGTGTGTACTGAAAGGAAGAAGTTGTATTTATCATCTTGTTTCATTCAGTTATTTTATTTCCTATAAACAGTATTATATAAAATTTAGGTTCTGTGTGTCACATTGATTTGCATTTAATTTATTTCTTTATGTTTGGTTTATGTTGACAATTTGTTTCCAATCCTGTTTCTATGCAGTAAAATATGATGGGCTACCAGGAGCCTTCATGCATTTTAGACTTCTACATAATCCCGTTCACTGTCTCTCTTAAAGTCATCAACCTGCATTATAGCTTCATCCATAAGATGAATGCAGCACTGTGGTAGTAAGTAGATGAAATATTTCTTTAATAAGATGCAAGTAAGTAAGTAAGTAAGTAAACGAGTTAGTAAATGAGAAGGAACGTTTGTAAGTAAATGAATTAATAAAGTAAGTAAGTAGGTAAGTAGGTAAGTAAGTAAGTAAGTAAACGAGTTAGTAAATGAGAAGGTACGTTTGTAAGTAAATGAATTAATAAAGTAAGTAAGTAGGTAAGTAAGTAAGTAAGTAAGTAAATAAATGAGTAAGTAAGTAAACAAGTAAGTATATGAGTAGGTAAATGAGTAAGTAAATGAGTAAATAAATGAGTAAGTAAATGAGTAAGTAAATAAATGAGTAAGTAAATGAGTAAGTAAGTAAATGATTAAGTAATGAGTAAGTAAGTAAATGAGTAAATAAGAAAGTAAGTGAGTAAATAGGTAGTAAATGAGTAAGTAAATAAATGAGTAAGTAAATAAATGAGTAAGTAAGAAAGTAAGTGAGTAAATAGGTAGTAAATGAGTGAGTAAGTATGTAAGTACATGAGTAAGTAAATTAATAAGTAAGTAAGTAAACAAGTAAGTAGGTAAGTAAATGAGTAATTAGGTAAGTAAATTAGTAAGTAAATGAAAAAGTAAACAAGTACATATGTAAGTACATGGATATGTAAATGAGTACATACATAAGTAAATTATTAAGTAAATTACTAATTTAGTAAGTAAATTAGTAAGTAAATTAATAAGTAAGTAAATAATTAAACAAGTAAATGAGTAAGTAAATGAGTAATTAAGTAAGTAAATTAATAAGTAAGTAAGCAAATAATTAAGTAAATGAGTTATTAAGTAAGTAAATTAGTAAGTACATTATTAAGTAAATGAGTGAGTAAGTAAGTATGCAAGTAAGTAAGTCAATAATTAAGTAAGTAAATGAGTAAGTAAAAAAAAGTAAATTAGTGAGTAAATACGTAAGTAAATGAAAAAGTAATTGAGTAATTAGGTAAGTAAATGAGTAAGTACATACATAAATAAGTATATAAGTAAGTGAGTAAGAAAGCAAGTACATAAGTAAGTAAATGAGTAATTAAGTAAGTAAATAAGTAAGGCAGTAGTCGAGGGTTTTCAGCAGGTTGGGATTGGGATACCCTATCTTATTATTTAGGACAATACATTACTGAAGGTAATCATTTGTTAAAAAAATAACAACATTAATAATTGTTTTTAAAATAGTTTATTTCTTGCATTAACTATAGCAGTTACACACATAAATACAGCTACATATATAAATAATAAACATATAAAACTATTTTATTAGTGTTTGATGATAAGAGTGGTTACACTTGGCTAAACTGGTTAATATGTACAAATTATCTGCATTTTGCACATTTGTGGACAGCTGTCTTCAAATCTCTGTGGGTTTATTTTTCCTTTGTGTTTATGCCTTTCTATTTCTTTTTAAAAAATGATAACATTTTTATTTATTTATTTATTTAGCCTGATCACACTGCAGCTTTTGGCAGCAAAACCTGCGCATGCTAACACCTCATCTTTATTAAATTATTTTTTTATTAGGACTGTGCTTACCATCCACCATTTTGGTGTGAGCCCATCTTGTCTATATTAGATATGTTCTTTTTCAGCCCACACTGCAATAAGCCTAAGTGCTGCACAGTCCATCTCCCCAACACACTGTGTAATGGCCGAGACCACTCTGGAATCTTTCTCCACTTGTAACCATGGCAACCAGCAGACTCGTTTTTATTTCCCAGATTCTTCTTTTTTTGCTCTTCTCTGTCTCTTTGCAAACTCATATTCATTTTAATCCTTGGCAGCTGAGAAGGAGGCTAAAAGAGGCAACGGGAATTAAAAACATTTGCTAAGCTTCTGAAAAAAAAACAAAAAAAACTACTTGTGTAGAAGAACTGTTCATGTACTTTGTAATTGCAATCTATGCAACAACTGTGCTTCTTTTTTCACATTATTTCCACATTGGTTTTCTTTTTTGTGATTAATGTTAAAGTACTGTGAAGGTCAACTCATGTTTTGCTTACCCCCACCCACCCCCCACCCCTCACCCCCTCCACCCGTGTTTTAAGTGCAATGTGCTTCCCAATCAATTTCCAATCACGTGAAAGAAAGAAAGGAATTTCATCCAGCTGTTTTCCTTTACTCATAACATATACCACCTCAGCCAGTACTGACAGGTGCCAGCGATGATGAGTTCACACAGTATCTACTATGTAACAGTTAAGAGTACTTTATATAGCATCAATAGAGTAATCCCTTGTTTATCGCCAAGGCCACTTTCCGGACACCCCTGCAAAAAGTGAAAAACTGCCAAGTAGGAATGCTATATTTATTTTATTATTTAAATATACAGTAGTTTAAGGCCTTATAAACCCTTGCAATGTTTTAAACTCTAAATGCTCTAAAAGAGCACAGCGTGTCATGATCTCTGCTCTCCACCACCTGCCACGCCCACTTCTCTGCTGCAATTACACTCATGCTCATCACCCGTGTCACTCCCAATCTTCCTCCTGCTGCACCTGCCTTCCATGCGACTTAGAGTTGCAGTCGGGCCTACAAAGTCCAACCGGGCCTGAACCCGTGTCATGTGTTTTGAGCCTGACCCAAAACTGATCAATTAACTGTGATTACAGGCCCGAACCCAAAAACAAAACCAGACATTTTTTTTTTTTTTTAAAGCTTTTACTGCTTTTGTATCAGTTTGACATGATCTAAAAACATATTTCAAAGAAAGGAAGATATAGGATTTATTGTTTATTCACAATAGTCAATGGTTTATTATAGTTATTATAATATTATAGTTATTATAGTTATTAACGGCCAGCAGACGCGCACAGCTGATGGTCCAAATTGGGTCGGTGTAATGAATTACGAGGGGGATGAGGAAATTCATTTTTAAATTATTCTTTTTTTAACGTTTTATCAGGATGAGAAATTCAGCTGTGACTCTGTAGTGCTCGATCACAGGTGAAAAGTCGAAGTTGCCATGATGTCAGAGAGAAAGGAGGTTTGGACGGATCATGTGATATGTGAGCGGAAGTCCAAC